ATCTTGTTCAGTGAAGCTCTATATCATTTCTAATGTTTTTTATTATTCTCATTACTTTTTATTACCTTTAACTGTTTGATCAATCTTGCATTCTTACATCTGGCAATCAGCAACTTGAAAGACAACAATATGTAATATGACAACCATTGTTGATTCCTATCATCTTGTTTGGAAATCCTGTATCATTGTTATTGTTTTTGTGTTGTGTTGTTTTGTTATTTTGTTATTTTTTTTCTCTTTAAAGTAAAAAAAAAGTGGCCTAACAAATTAGCTAGATCTTTTTAACTTTGTGTGATTCAGTTGGTAAGCAATTTACAGAATGTGATCTGTGGTTTAATTCTCAGAGTTTACAGTCTACATTTTGAGGTTCAAGTCCGGATGCCCGCTTGGATCTTTATTTAGAGTGTCTGGAGTACAGCCATATGCAGTGTTTACCTGGCTTAACAGCTACAAGCTTGAGTAGTTGTGTCAAAGCCCTTGTGTGGTCTTCATCTCAGAATAACTATCAGATTCTTTACAGAAGAAGCATGCTAACTCCTGATTTCAGGCAACAGGGAACATTTACTAAGCCAATAATTACTAGGGAAAGTTTTACAAAATTGCCCACAACAAGATCTCGGTAAATAATGGTTAAAAGAATGAGAAAAGAAGGAGTGAGAATTAATTTGGACCAGTTCAACTACTAATTATTTCTTGTTACTTAAAAGGAAGTTGGGACTTTATGCTTTATGTAAATATACCTGTTGGGTAATGTGATGACTTTTACAACAGATAAGTTTATCACATTTATACTCATAGTAACTTACCTCGATATGTTTTATTCTGCCTCTTCACTTTGTTTTGAGGAAATCATAAGGCATTTCTGTTTACTCTACTGTACTATGAGACTCTTTTCAATCCTGGTAAATTCAAAATGCTACATAGTTATCTTATAGTCTTTAAAAAAAACGGATTTCAAAAACAAAACCCTTTTATTTGAGATATCTATGACATTCTCCAATGTAAAGCAATTCCAAGCCAAAACTGAGTAGACTAGCAGAAGGGAAGAATTTAAATATTTCTCCTGCATCCGTGTATTAATATTATTACTTAGGTTGAATTACACTATAGCTAAACAGAAGTAGACTGTGCTGGAACATATTTTAAAGTATACACACTTTTTCTATGCAGACAAAAATATAAATTTAAAATGCATTTGAAATGCAAATCTGTGCTTAGAAAATTATCAGACATATCTTAAACTAGTTATTCTTTTGATTTTTTTATTGGCCATACTAGGAGTACCAACCCAAGTCCTTACCATCACAAGGCAAATGTTTACCACCAAGCCATATTCCCAGTCCTGGAATTACTGAACAAATATTTCCTTCCTGACACTGTTTCATCACTTTTTACAGGTGTGCAGATCAGTGAAAAGACCTCTGTTGCTATCACTGAATTACTTGGCAGTGTGCACTTTGAAAACATGGACAGTGTCTACAGAAGAGGAATTTCTTATTTTGGAACTGTAGGTCTGACTCCCTCCCAAAAGCAACCATACTTATCTCTGTTTTATTTTCATGGATCATAGATTACTCTTTGATCATTTCTGTACACTTTTTTTCTACTTTCATAAAACATTTTTGGCATTACTGTGCCTGATTTACTAAAAAAGTCCTAGCTGACGGAAATTTAGAAAATTACACCTGCATTCATATATATATATATATATATATATGTATGTATATATCCAATATGTCCAATATACACTCAAGAGAACATCTTTTGCTCATTGACATTGAAGAAAATTGCTATTAAGTGATGACAATTATGAAAAACAGAACTTTCTCTGCACAAATATGAAATGTTTGTATTTTCATAAAATTGATACTTTTTTTCTTTTTTGGAACAGCTCAAATTTTATGGTCCCAATAATGTGCCGCTGACCAGCAAGGTGCTGCAGCTGGAGCTCAATGGCAGAGTTATAGGGAATTACACTACAGATGAGAATGGCGAGGCTCCGTTTTCCATTGACACTTCGGACATATATGACCCTATGTTCTCCCTGAAAGTAAGACTCCAAAGGGTAGATGAGAACTCTCAAGGGTACCAGAGCATGTGACGCTTAGGGATTTTGAACATTAACAATTCTTAAAAATTAGCATATTTTGTACAATTTGTTTTTTAAGTATGAGTATATTTGTTCATGATGAAGAGAATCTGATAGCCTATTATGATTGGTATAAATTCTATAATAACCATATTTTCCTCTGAGCTGCATAAAGAAAATTTGGCTTTTGCCCTTACATCATTTCATGCAGAAATAAAAGAGAGAATTCTCTTTTCTGCTGCTTAAAACAAATTTTGCAGTTAAAAATTTTAATTGCAAAATTCTGTTGGTATCCCAGTGAAAGAACCAGGGGAGCTTAAATCCAGTTCTCTGACTTCAATCAAAAAGCAGAAAAACCACACTATTTCACTGTGAGTCTGATGAACTATTCAGACAATTATGATCAGTTCTGTATATTTAAGTGAAGAATACTATTACGATTTCACTTCAATTAACAGTGAATATCAGCCACAAGGGAGGATTCCTCCTTTCTTTGCCGAGATGGGAAGGCTTTTGTGCTGTGTGAGCTCCTGTCCTTGGAGGTCCTCATGGCGCTAAGATCCTCTCTTTCTTTCTTCACATCAGGCCACGTTCCTTCAACCCCAGAGCTGCCATCTTCCCAGCTGGGTGACACCTCACTACTCAGAGGCCTCCTTTGTAGTCTCACGCTTTTATTCCCGAACCAACAGCTTCCTGAAGATCGTGCCCACACTGAAGCAGCTGAGATGTAACCAAGTGAAGATTGTTACTGTGCATTACTCCCTAAATCATGAAGCATATATGGGTGCCTCAAGTGTAAACTTCTTCTACTTGGTAAGTCTCAGCAGGTTCTTGCAGTCGTGTCTGTCTGCTGAACATAGCATAGTTTAGAGTGTACTGTGCTTTGATTATGTCAGTCTGAGCAACCTCAAGCTTCTCACTTTGCTGGTGAATACTGTTTGATCCATTAATACCAAGTAAATAGACAAACGCATAACAAGATCTCAAGCAACTTCCTTAAGACTGGAAAATCTTGTTAGTCAGTCTGCTTTTTCAAGCAACTGTAACTCATCTCAAGTATTTAAAATCTTTTATGATGGAAAAAGCTTAGGCAGAAGCCAGAAAAAAAAAGTGCAGGGCTCGTTTTGGTAAGCAGTACAAAGAATTTGCTGTCTTGGTTCTGTACTCTTTGTCTCATCAGAGCATATGCAAGGAGAAACACAGACTTGGAAGTTAAGACCTTTCTAGTTTGAATCATCTACGCTTTTTGGTTGATCGTGCAATTTAGACCATCTCATTTAAAGTCTCTGAAACCTTCACTTTCTCAGCTGTATATTTGTAATTGGAAATAAGACTTCTCTCTTAGGCTAACCGTTATGTGTCAAGCATTGATAAAGGGGCCTTATGTGTTCACTAGTTTAATCAGACTTCTGGCTATCTCATTTTATAGAGATCCCATTGTACAGATTTGACAGATAGCTTTTGGAGACTGCACTTTTACAAAGGCAAAAGGTGCAACAACGTGTCTTAAATAGCAAAGTTGATAAGAAGAAGGAGGCAGAGTAGAAAACAAATGATCTGGACAATCGCTGCTACCTCGCCCCATGCATCACACATGGATCTGTAATAGTATCTCAGTCCATTGCAGTTACTTTCTCTTTTCTCTTACAAGATGTGCAGTGTCCACTTTCACTACTCATCGGAGAAAGCTACCTTATCTTATGGAACAGAATGAACGTTAGAGAATTCATTATATAATGAAAATATAAGATATTACATAATATTTCTCATACAAAATTTTCTTTGCTTTGTACAGGTGATGGCGAAAGGCGCTATCATCCTCAATGGACAAAAGGAACTCAGAAACAAAGGTGTTTATAATGCATTCATCAGCAAACATGTACTTTACAATCATGCTTTTCCTTCTTAAGGAGATAGAAAATGTAGACAGAGTACTTCTATCAATTTGTGGGTAGGGGCAGCAGTTAGCACGGCTTGAGGGAAGCTACTATTTGTATATGCAGTTCTCACTATTTATTTGCCTTGAAAGCAAAGTACAATTTATCCTTTCTGTCCTCGAGCCAGTTCGCCTTATCTGTGCCTATCCAGTGATACAAGACATTGTTGATTTTGTGTCTGTTAATTATTATCCCAGCCTGGAAGGGGAGCTTCTCACTGTCAATCAGCATCAGTGCTGACCTGGCTCCTGTGGCTGTCCTGCTCGTCTACACTGTCCACCCCAGTGGGGAAATCGTCGCTGACAGTGTCAAATTCCAGATTGACCAGTGTTTTAAAAACAAGGTGATGTTCCTTCTACATCTGCCCTGTCCAGGTGGAGGAGGGTGAGCAGCTTTTTCCCTGCTGCCCCTTCTGGCACTACCACTATAATCATGAGGCGGAAATCTCACAATAAATGTTGGTGTGATTAAATTACTAGGGGGTGGGAAGCTCATCAAGTAGACTGAATTATCCTTGACATTAGTGCTGATCCTGAGACCACAGCAGAAAGGTGAAGGAGATTTTCCCACAAGAGTTGAGCTATGAAATTGCAAACAATATTTAATAACCCAAAATCAGGACATAATTATATACTTTCGCTTTGTAAAGCTAAAATGTATTTCAACTTCTGAAATTATTTAGAAGCTTCTTAAATACTCTAAAGGTTATTTATTGATTATGTATAAATAAATCTAAGAAGCTTCTGAGTAATTTCAGAAACCGAAGAAACATTAACAAATAAAATACATATTTACCTATTAAAGGTGAGGGTGCAAGAGAAATATCATGCAGAAGTCTATCAGGATTTACTTGGAAAAGCTTAAATTTATTCTGGTTCTCCCCACATAAAATTGTTTCTACCCTCATTCCTTTTCCTTCTGTGCTTCAGGTTAGTATACAGTTCTCTGAGGCGCACAGGCCACCTGGCTCCAATACTACTCTCTATCTTCAAGCTGCCCCTGACTCATTCTGTGCCCTCCGGGCAGTGGATAAAAGTGTCCTTCTGCTGAAACCGGAGCAGCAGCTGTCAGCAGAAAGCGTAAGCCTACTAATTACCTCCTTTCTGCCTAACTCCAAGTATAACCCTTCTTAGGATGTTTTTACTTGAGATATGATATGTTGAATCTATCAACTCTTTTGTTTCCTTTATTCCTTCATGTGTTATATACTTAATTATCTTTCTTGGCTTACCCAGACCTGGTAATACAGAATTTCTGCAGATAATTGTAACAGATTAAAAATTTTGCAAATTTTTTTATTTTAAAGAGAGTAGTAAATGAGAAACAAACAAGCAAAAAAAAATAGAACAGTAGCATACTCATAAGGGAAATAAATCGGACCCAGATGGGTAAACATCATGTTGTCTCCTTGGTGTAGGAATTTGAAAGACTAGGTAAAACTCAAAATGTACAATAGATGATAAGAAAGGAAAAGAAATTGCTCAAAGGAAGGAAAGACTGGGATGAGGGAAAGAAGAAAAAAGAAACAAGGAAGGCAAAACATAAATGTACATATGAATAGCTGTGATAACAGTATTGCTGATGTCTGGTGTATTGAAAATTTTTTTTAAAAAATCATATGTATAAACATAGATATAGATGCCTAGAGTTAAAAAGAAATTTCTCTGTTGGAGGATATGTTTGGAGACAGTCTAAAGGTATTATTTGATATCTGAGATAGAATTTCCTTAAACACTTCCAGGGCAAAGGTATAGGTCAATGGCAGAGCCCTTACCTAGCATGAATGAAGCCCTGGGTTGGATCTTTAATACCAACACATCAATAAAACAATAAATCAATAGCTATCTAGACTGGTGGCACCAGAAGTTCACATCAAAAATATTTTTAGTTAATAATTGTTAGACTTTTCCCTAATATTTTAATTCACAACTGTAGGACATTTTCCTTTTATTTTATACATATACATATTAAAAACTTGACCTTTCTGATATTTGTATGTCTAATTCAGTAATTTAAATTTTTCTGATTGTGAAAAGCATACCTCTTTGTTGTAGAACACATGCAAAATATATGAAGGCATAAAGAAATCTTTAAAACTGATCATAATCTAACACACTTTTGTATTTTGTGGCAATTCTTAAGACATCTTTTCAGAAACAATCTTTTACACACTTAAAATCTAATTTTAAAACTCCGATTTTGTGTTCCCCTTTCAATATTTTACCTTAAGCATTAATTATTAAATTATGAAATTAATAACAATGTTTATAACCACAAACCCTGACATAACCATATTGTGCCAATGCAAAACTATATTTCAATTTCTGAAATTATTTAGAAACATCTTAAATAATCTAAACATTATTAATTGAGATTATTTATAAATAAATCTGCAAAACTTCTAAATAGTTTCAGAATCTGAGGAACCATAAAAAAATAAGGCCAAATCTACCTATTAATGTAGAATAAGCTTTTTCCCTAAGATTTCAAGGCTGATGCTTACTCTTCCTTCAACTAGAGATAGCAAATACTTAGGAAAACTGCCATTAGGAATAAGTATCAGGAGACCTGAAATAGAAAGTTCCAGAGGCATTTTCTTGGGTCACATCATAGCTTAGGTGTTGTCCTTTGGCAGGGGTGTAGGTAAGTGGAACAGCACTTGCATAGTACGTGTGAGGCGCTGGGCTCCCTCCTCTCATCCCCAAATGTTACCGGTCTCCATAGTTGTCTTTTGGCTACATAAACCTGTCTCTGTTCGCTTTCTCAGAGAGTCACTTCAGAATTGTCCTTCTGAAGCCTTCATACAGGCAGGACAGGTTATCTGTATTAAATTCTTGGTCTTACTTTCTCGTAGATATTTGACAATACTGCTCCACTATTATCTTGCATTGATTGTTGCTTCAAAAATAAATTTTGGAGTAAATTTAATTTATTTTCTGTTGTAAGTTATTTTATTATTTTCTCTGGAGGCACTGAAGGCTTTTTTTTTTAATACTTTAGAGCCACAATTTTAGTACAATATCTCTCTGAACTTATTGTGTAGAAGCTTGTTGAGGGAAGGTTTTACCAGGTACCTAGTAGAACCATGAATCAATCTCACATCTTTTATTTTCAGAAATTTGTCCTGAATTATAATTTTAAATATTAAGCTTTTTGCTTTTTTCCTTTTTTGAAAAAATCCATTCACAAGTTAGATCTTCTTTACCTACTTTCCAATTTAACCACTCTGCCCATGACCTATTTTAATTCATTCTTTCTCTCATTTTGTTTTTCTTTTATGCTTTTTGAAAATATGTAATCCAGGGCACTCTTGAATTGACAGTGTAACCTAAAGTGGTCTAAAACTTAAACCTCATGTATCAGCTTTCATTGCTGGGATTACAAGCATGCACTACCACACCCAGCTTTTCTATGTTGCTTTTAAGAATTCCTTCCAACTGGGGGTGGTAGCTCCCACCTGTAATCCCAGCACTCAGGAGGTTGAGACAGGAGGATCACTGAGAGTTTGAAGCCAGCCTGGGCTATGTATTGAATACAAGAAAAATAAAATTTTCTTTCAATATTTTTTCATGAGCTCTTTATACTTTATAATTCACGTCACCTGTGTTTGTCTATTTTATCTATATTTGAGTTCAAAAATTTTTCATTTTATTTTCTTTTGTATTTGCCTGTTTTATTCTTTCTTTATTTAATTTTTAATTCATGATGCATACTAGGTAAATATATCCCCAACCCCAATGATTCTTTTTAAATATACCAAGTACATGTTTGGAAATATTTAATTTAGGCTGAGATGTTTGAGAATAGCTTTCCATTCCTATATATTTGCTTAGTTAATTACTTTGGCAGCAAACTTCACCAGCAGAAGTGCTTTGACTTGCATTTTCTGTTCTTTTATGACAGCTTTATGTGGAGCTGTTTTTCTGGTGTGAATAGTGTTCATAGGTGAAAAGTGTCTTTAGCATGCTATTTTGCTTAGAAAAAAAAGTTTTTCCATGACAAATGCTGCTAATGGAAATAATAATGACAAGATTGACATGTTTTATTTCTGCAGTGTCCTTAGTTGTACTCTATTACTTCCTTCCCTCTGTTAAGTGCCCTATTTCCAAGGGCCAGTACCCTTTCTCTACCAATCAGATTCTTTTCCCTTGGCCCCTCTTGGAAGCTGCCACCTCCGGATGATTCAAACCCTTTCTTTACTGGGGACTACTGCGTTCAAGAACTATAGTTCATATTTGGACATTAAATGTTGAACTTGCTCTTACTTGTAGTTGATTTCTTTTGTTTCTTCTAATTTCTCCATGTAATTCTTCCCTTTCTTCCATGTAGAATCTTAAACCTCCTTCTGCAGATCTATACCCCTCAAATGTTTATCCCTAGGAGCTCTATGAAATGTAGTGTTCATTTCTTTACTAACAGTTTGAAGATCAAAGAATTAGCCTCTGTTCCCTAGTAATGTTAAAGAAATAAGTCATGGACATCATTAATTGTTCTTTTTTTATTTTATATTTTCTGTGGAAGGTTATGTAAAAAGATTTTTGTTTCTTTTTTTTTTTTTTTTTTTTT